AWWMCCMCTTCATGATGGGCAGCATTCCCTGATGGAGCTTTGTTCTCTGAGCAGTGCCATGTCTTGGTGGGGAGCCCAGTCCTGGGAGGATGCAGGGGAGGGGTTCYTTCAGGTCTGTGTCTCAAGGAGAAGCATCCTCAGCTGCAGTGTGGCTGTGTGGTGCTCTCCCAGCCCAGGACACTGTGTCAGGACAGGCTGGGGAGGTGGCTGCAATCACAGGATGCCCGGGCCAGGCTGCAGGGTTGAACTGCAGAGGCACAGCGGGGGCAGGAAGGACAGAAAAGCCATCCTTTGGGCAAAAGCAGCTTGGAAAAATTACYCTTGTGTCAAGGCTTCTGGATGTATAAGTTTTAAAATACCCTTGTTGCAGTAAAATGTTGTCTTATCAGATGRGATTTAGATGGATTTGGGGTTATTTTTGTTACTTGGAGTTTGAGCAGTGAATTTGCAAACATTTTTTGCAGGGAAAGTGACAACAGAGTGTCTTAGGAGTGCCAGCACTATGTACAGAAATGAATTTGCCAAATGCAACAGTGGTGCTGCCTCYTTGCTCTTGCATGGGGCAAGAGACTGGGCTCCAGCTGTGGCAGCCCTGAAGGACTGAAACTATTAATTGTACTTGTCACCAGCAAAGCCACCTCTCCAAACAGTGCACTCCTCAYAAAATCRATGCTCATTCTCCCAGGGCATSRTCAGGCAGGGGTCTGGAATTTTTGSACAGACTGTGTTTTATTTTTAAAAACAGGGGGAAGTACTATTATGACTGAAGGATAAAGATGTAGAGAAGTTGGTTGGAGAGCAGGAGAAATTTACTCAGGAGAGATGAGGCTTAGCCAAAAGCCTCCATTACAGATCCAAGATGAGAAAGGGTGAGGAGATTTCCTTCATGGAGCACCAAATCCACAGTTCATATCACAGCCCAGGGCAGAAAGAGTTTTCCTAAGAGTTGAGTGCTGGCTGGGCATTGGTAAGGATGGGGTTGCTGTTCCTTGGCTCTCCTGCAGCCCAGTGTGCTGGTCTTTTGGGATCTTGCTCCATTCTTCCTATTTTTGATGGTGTCTCTTCTTCCTTTTCTTTTCCATTAAGTATGATGTCACAAATGACATCAGTCCAATAACTGCTTGTGGTTGTCATAGCCACAGTCTGTGACACCCAAACAAAGCAGCAGGAAACCAAAGCTGGCATACAAATGCTGTAATATTCATCACATTCCTTTCRGTTAATAACTGCGTGGTTAGGTATTTGTTTTCCATTGGGAAAAAAAAGAGGAAGGGGGCTTAAAAGAAGCAAAAAATTGAGTCATTGAGAGGCRGAGAGGTGGTTTCCAGCTCCATCTGACCAGTGTAGCTGCACTTCTCCCTCCCAGTACTCTTCCCCTAAGGTAATATTGCTCTGGCCTCRGCTACTCAGCTCCCTTCTGCAGCTGTTCCATCACTGCAGACCACATGGTGATGCTCCTCATGGACAAGGCASTGGGAGACATTCCACAGCCTCTGACACAAACTGTGTCCCCAGGGCAAAGCCTCCCAAAGGCTGGCAGTGAGGGCCAGCAGCAGCCACATGTCAGCCAGCTTTGACTGCTGGTTGCCATTCTTGCGGTGCACGGACAGAGTATTGAAGGGTTTTTTCACTTTTTTGGGGGATTAGATGTGATGAGGGAGTGGTTGTTTGCAATTCTTTGTTTTGTTTTTTGAGTCTGTARAATAAGCTTTTCTGGGTGAGCAGCAGAGCTTGTTTGCCCCAGCAAGATTTAATCACTCCTTCAGAGTTTTGCATAGTTGGACTAATAGTAGGAAGGTGCTTGYTGCAAGAAATAATTCCAATAATGTCAAAAAAAAAAAATTACATAAATTACAGGAATAGATCTGGTATGAATGCTGCATTTGCAAGACAAGCACCAGAGGCAGGTGGTCAGGGTTTGTTGGGAAGGAGCCCCCCAAGCCCCTCACTGTGCAGGTGTTTGGGGAGCTGCTGTCTGTGCATCCCTTCCCAGAACTGCCCCTTGCCCGGAGCCATCCCCCTTTGTGCCCCCACAGGGACATCCTGACCCTGAGCGCTGCAGCGCGGCTTCCCCAAAATATTTAGCCAGGTGATTCCTGGGCTGAACCCAGAAAACTCTGCAGGCCTGCCCGTGCTGGGAGCAGGCACACAGAGAGCAGAGTCCAGCTCTGGATTCAGGCATTCTGTGCCGTGGCTCCTGCTGGTGCTTGCAGGGAGGTGCTCATTATATAATAGCTGGTGGTTGATTAATATGCTGTGAGTCAGAAGCGCCAGGGTATTTTAGCTTTCTCTAGTTGCTATGGAAACGTTATTTTAACAAATAGCTTTTTAATATTTAATTAAAACTCAGCTTTTGGCAAGCTGGAGTAAGAACTATTACAATT